CCCGTCTCTCCCTCAGAATAACTCTTCATACAGAGTGAACAAAGCCATTTCTATGCCAAAATCTGGCCCGAATCCCAGCTGAATGGATCCAGGACCTTGCTCAGGAAGGGAGCATTTGCCACAGGAGTAACCTTTTCAGGTCCAGGGAAGGTTTCTTCAGGAGTGGCCTCTTTAATGCAGCATGGGACCATGTGTCTCATAGAAAGGCATGGGTCACCTCCCTGATCCAGCCTGCTGTTCCCTCCTTGCTAGTTTTGTAAGTCAAGAGCTGTAAGGATCCAGTACGGATGTGGTTGCGGGAGCTTGTCCAAGCACCTTGTCAACATCCTTAAGCTGTACAACTGGAACTCATCCAATAAAACTGGCTACCTCACTTGATTCAGCTGCTGTAGCAGTAGAGTCCTGGTGGATGCAAGAGATTTTACCCTGGACGTGCCCAGCAAATATAATACCTTGGGTCTCAGATGCCCTTGGGGACAACCTGTAATAGGCCCCAGATGACCCTCAAGAGCTCAGCAAGGTAGACTGAATAGAAGCAGTATTTGTTAGCTGCCCTCAGTGCCCCCACATGGACCTGATTAGAGGCACTGATCAGGGCTCGACTGCATCCACTAGGAGTTTTCCTCCACTGGTGCTCTGGTGGCATCCCGTGTTATTTGATTGCTCTCAACTCTGGGACATATCACAGGGCTCTGCTACAGCTCAGGAATAATCATGCCCACTGCCTGGGCCATCTGGTTGTGATCCAGTCATGACAAAGGGACCCATTCAAAGTCCCCCACCTTCCAGTCCATGCCCAGCTGAAAAAAGCAAATCAGGAGTGTGCCCTGAGATATGTGCTGGGCCAGTCACATGTTAGGACAGCCCCATGGTTGTCATGGAGTCCATGAAATCCTGAGATGCTCCCGATAGGGTGGCCTCAGCATGGATGTTAATGCTCTCCAAGACCAACTGTCTGTGAATCCTCAGCATTGCAACGGAGCCACCCCTGCTGGGATGCTGCTGGGTCATGGAGTGGCTGGTGATGGACGGTAAGGCTTCCTGCTGGGGCTTGTTCTGGCTGGCTTTCTCTGTTGGCTCCTGGCTAGCAAAGCACTGAAATACCTTCACTACTACCCAGCAGCAATCCTCATCTATTCATTTCCAATGCCACTAAGGTAGTGACCTGAAACACAAAGAGTCGACATTTTTAGGACATGGTGTAGTGTTGCAATTTAAAGACACCTGGAAGAGCCTGACTTGAAACACCTTCGCATATACCCGGTGGTACAGCAGCTGCTTTCCTATGTTGCGATCCCTGCTGGGCCAGTTATGTAGGTCTTTCTTCCCTGGCTGGAGCTGTCTGGAGGAAGGTTGAAAGTCTGGCTGCAGACGGGAAACATTCTGGGCCCTTGGGAGGTGAGACACTTGTTCATCAGCATCTTCACCCTCAGTCAGGAGTCCATTGAGAAAGGCAATGCAGCCATTCTTCTTCAGGCACTGCAGGACCAGGTCCCTGCTTACTGGGGACCTCGTTTGTGCTGTGCTGGTGGCTTTAAGGAGAAATGGGGTCATTTGTGCTGTGCTGGTGGCTCTAAGGAGAAGTCAAGCCACACAGATGACCTGCTGGGAGCAACCCCGGGGGCCAGGCAGCAGCCCTGGTTGGTCCCTTGAGGCAGCACCTTGGGAAGGAGGTTCTCCCAGCCTGCATCTGGGCTATATATGGGGGCCTGCACTGCAGTACAGGCCCGAGCCACAACTGACTTCCCCAGCCACCCTGTTCTGATTTTCCCATGAACCAGGGTCACTCAGGGACTGATGGGGCTGGGAAGAAAGTTTAAGTCCTGGTGAGTTGGGCAGTACAGCTGCAGGGGTTTTGCCTTCCACGTAGCAATTGACTATTGCACAACGCCAGCTGTGTTTCTAATTTTGCCACAGTTTTAACTTGGTGGGGATTGTGGCTATTCAACCCATTTCTGGGACTAAGCTGAGCTGGGACACCACATTTCCCCAGAGCACATGGGGTCTCAAGGCAAGCCTGATTCTAGCACCCAGGTGGCAGGTTCTGACTGGTCCAGCCTGGGATGGGGGCTGAAATCCTGCCATCCCCTATTTAAGTTCAGCTCTAGGTACAGTTAATGTATCTTCTCACAGAACTCAAGTTCTGAGTCAGACATCTAGCCTGCTATTGTTGACACTGACTGGCAGTAGCTCTCCAGGTTTCAGATGCGATTCTTTCCTAGCCTCACCTGGAGATGTCAGGGTGTGCAATGGGGTGAGCAGCTTGAGGTTCTCCAAATGATGCAGAATGGTCAGTCCTAACATCTGTCACCATTGCCAACTTTAACTGGGCTGGTGGACACTGAAATCCAGCAACATCTGGAAGGCCACATACTGCTTAACCCTGATGTGCACCCTGTGGTGTGGGGGACCCCACTCACGTTCCACTATGTGGAAGATGCAGGTGACCTGCCCTTAGTGGAACTAATTAATTCCTCCAGAAAGTTGGAACTATCCCCTCCCATCTTCTTCATTCCATTCTATTCCTGTTCAGGGCTAGCCTCCCATCGACAGCAGATTGTGGGGGCCTAGAGCAGCTATGAAGTGTTGCAGTGTGCCGTGTGCCATGTGCCCTGCCCTGCATCGTCCCAGCAAACCTGCTATCTCCAGGAGCAGAGCAGGTTGCTGTCCCATTGTCAGTGTTGAAAGCAGACTCACCTTCTAGTCCCTACAGCTCTGGAGGACGGGGCGGAGGTGGCAGGGGTATGCATCTTGGCCAGCCCTGACCATGATGAAAGAGAGGCACACCAAGAAATTTCCCTCACAATTTGAAGCGCGCATTGTTCCTTCGCAAAGAGATTGGCAAGCTACACCAAGGGCATCATTTTGCATGGGAAAGAGTGTGAGCATCATCAAGACAAACATGGTATGTGTGGATGGGAGAATCCTATTCCATCGCCTGTTTCTAACTGATCACTCATTGGTTGTTTCCTATGAACTCCTCTGGCTAAACACCCCTGAACTGATCAATCATTACCCCTCCCAAGTTAAGTGTGGCATGCAGTCAATGCTCCTTTTCTTTTGCAAAATAGCATGGCTTTCCTTAACCAAAAGGACTAAACTTCCTATGGTGATGGAATTTTGGAGAAAAAGATAACATTTTGCACAGTTAATTCTAAATGTTATATTTCCACTGGCCATTTTCTTTCTGAAATTGTTTTACCAGCCAAATTTCACTTGGCTCAGGCAATTCTGTCAGACAAGGACATAGGCTAGTCCTGAGCTGTCATTTTTCAATGTTTTTAGCTGCCTTCTGTCATTGCTGAAAAGCTATTTTGATAATGCACTGCCTTTGCTACTTTATATGCATGCTTACATAAAACAATACTGAATGTACCTGAACTGACAGAGCCAGAAGGAGAGATTAGCAAATGGGTCCACTAACATGATGCATCATTTTTCATTCATTAAGCCTGGATTTTATGTGTTTAAGGGGTTACTTTGCTTGTTTCTTCCGATCAAGCATACTAATTTGGAAGATCCATAACACAGGTTATGCTGCAAAAAAGTTGACAGTCGTCAGATGATAATCCAGTGACCTGAAGCTGCTCAGGTCATTGATTTTCCCAAAATGCACTCTGCAATTTTAACTCCAGACAAACCTTAGAACTCATAAGGTTTGGAAGACTAGTAGTTTGAAGGGGGCCATAGCTGGTGAGCTTCAACAAAGTACTGCATCGCTCGGTAGAACAGAATGGTCTAAGATTCATAACAAGCTCTATTTCACACCCCTTCTGTCTTGATTTAAGAGTACTATTTTTGCAGATTTGCAGACCTGGTGGCTTAAAATGCTTGAATTATTAGTTTGGTCACAAGTATTGCTGATAATAACATCAGTGTGTGGAATTACATTGTTGCAGTGCAGTATTTTCTGCGTGTAGAATTAAGACATTGCTCAAATTATGGGAGAAAGCTGCAGGGCCTTTCAAGACATCTTCCTGAGACTCGTCTCCTGCACCCATCAGTTTGAGCCAAACCATTCTACCCATCAACATGCAAAAAGGAGTAGCTTCAAGAGCGAGGGCACGGGTAGTTCCATCTCTTCCCTCTCCCAGACTTTGAGCGCTGAGTAATGGCTTTCATAGTTTAATTCTACAAAGGTGCAATTCCACTTCCCAAGGGTGAAATGCATCTTTAGACACAAAAAGTCTTACCACTTCCAGCATTATGAGACTTGCCACATTCCACCATTTTTATCTGAGTCCTCCCCACCCTGCTTCTATGATATATTGCAAGATCTTGGAGAACCTCAACACAATAAAGTGAAGCAAAAACATAAATACAGAGTAAGAGCTCATAAAAAGCAAATGAATATGCTGGGAGTTGTAGGACTTTTTTCTGTCTAAACATGCCTAGGATTGCACCTTCGGGCAGTGTTTTTCAGCCAGGTTTCTGCAAACATCCCACAGGGTTTCTAGGAAATTATGTAACTCACCAGCTGGGACATTTTACTTTCCCCTTTGTACCAGCCAGTCACCCCTCAAGCTGAAGTTTATTGTTGAAAACTTGCCAGCATCACAGTTATGAGAGTTCTTAATTTTCCAGTTGTCCAATGATCCTGGGTAATTTTCCAAATTATCCTGGTGAATTTGTATAATGTTCTGCCTTTGTCTCTAGCAATTGTTGAATTCTTAGGAAGTCTCTTCCCGCCCCCCCCCCCCACACCACCCCCGGATGTGCATTTTCCTTTGTTGGATTGGGGATATCCAGGATAATGCAACTTATTACTGGAGACTTTAAGCAGGAAAAGGTGGGATATGGCAAGTCTAATAATTCTCTCCTATCCCTGGAAACTGGGTGATGTCTCCTCCCTGGTGCTCTGGCCCAGGGTTTTACTGGTGCTCTTTCCTCCATTTATTTATGTTTTCTTCTGGGATGACATGAAGATGAAACTTAAGACATAAATTCAGCTTTCTGCAAAATTCTGAAATGGTATAGCCTTATTTTGTCTTTTTTTATAGTCGACCTGAGAGGCAGAGAAGAGACGCACACGGAGAATCACACAAGCAAGGCAGGTATGCTGTGAAAGGTGTCATACAAAGACCATTCCTCTCCTTCCCCCTCCCATCACTCTTCAGAGGCTAGAGGTGCAGTTATGCAATTTTTCATATGCTGGACCTAATACGTGTTATTGGGCCCTAACTCCCATCAGCCTCAGCCAGCATAGTCAATGGTCAGGCATGATGGGAGTTATAGTCCAACAATATCTGGAGGACCATAGGTTTCTAGCCACTGAACTAGACCATTAGATTCTCTTTTTGGATTGAGATTTTAAAAATACTGACTGATTTCAATGTTGTTGCAACTTGGGGAATTGATATACACTTTAAAAAACAATGACCACAGAAGTAATAAACATATAAATATCCATTAATAAGCCACTTCCCCCTTTCTCTTCCCTCCTGCAACCCTCTGTGTGGGCTAAGGATGCCCTCAGCCCTCCGGAGTGTGCACAGGGGGCCGCAGAGGGAGGGAGAATTCTTCCCACTCATGTCCTGCTGATGGCAGCCGTTCTCCCAGCAGGAAATGCTAACTGGGTGTCACCCCACCTGCTCCACCATGCATCTGAGCTACCTGACCTCTTTCTTCAGCACGCCTGCTGCTTCCTTTTTCCCACCCCAGATGTTACAGCCGGGTGGAAAGGGTTGGCCCTCCAAATGCCGTTGGACTTCCATTCCCATCAACCCCATTCAGCATGGTCAATGGCAATGGAGGATGGTAGTCGTAGTCCAAGAACAAGGTCTGGAGGACCATGAGCGCCCCCCTCTTTTTTTTTCACTGCATTTACAGCAAGGTTGTGTGGATTTTGGTTTGGCCCCACAGCTCCTGGGGAGGGCAGTGAGTGACTGGGGGGAATGGGGTAGATGGCATGGTGGTCACCACTTCTCCCACTGCTTCTGCACTGTTCATAGTTAGCGTGAAATCTCTAGTAATCCTCAGTCTACATGGACTAGCGAGAAATGCAAAACTCAGAACAAAGCCATCATCCAAGCTGAGGCTTATCAGGCACATTCACGCAGTACTAGTTCACCCTCAAACAACCTACGGTGGTCTGGTTGTTCACAGAACACCCAATCAGGTGCACAGCAGATGACCCGGCTCACTGTGGGTTGCTCCTTGCTGCCTTCCTCCTCTGCCCTCCAGCCTCAGCCCACATTACTTCTGACTCTTTAACAGGGACAGATCCAGTATCCACTTCATGGTTTACTCAAGAGAGGAAGCTGCATGATACCCCAGACTAACTGTCCACCCGGTCTGGCCATGGTTCTCTAGAGTCTAAGAACCAAACATTATTAACACATGGTGGCAGGGATGAGGATGCTGGTAGGTAGGTAGGTAACTGGTTTTATTAACCTTTTGCAAATTATTTGAGATTCTGCTTCTTTGAAGGCAAAGTAAGATGCTTAAAATAGATTAATAAGCTGGTACCTCTTGTTCCAAAGGAAAAACAGCTGCAGAGCCCTGGGTTCTTGGCTTCTAGCCAAATTCTAGGCTTTTATTTTACAACAAAAGCACCTTCAGGAATAAATATCAGTTGGCAGGAGAACAACTTTGGCAGGAAACTGGTGTGGGATTTTGCTGTGAACCAGGAACATGCCCCACAGCGGCTTTTTCTTCCAAATATATGCAGCTACTTCAGGCAGGCTCTCAAATTGTGTGTAAAAATGTAGCATGCATTTCAATTCTCAGGATCAGCTCCACATGACCATAACGGTGTAGTTCTGCCCTTGATGCAAGGTTTCTACCTACAAATTGTCACTCCCCCTATCTGGATAGAAACCATAGCTAGGGGGGGTCAGGATGCTTCACCCTTTCTTCTGCTACAACTAGTTAGGATTCACACCTGCCCCTGCTGCCTTCCCTTTCTTCTGCATTGCAAAAACATCCCACAAAAATGCATGGAGCCTTATTTGCAGTGCAAATTGCCAACATACCCTCTTCGCCAAATCTGGAATGTTACCACAGCCGGGGACAAAGGATTAAAGCTCCTCTTATCCTCCCTGCTGCCAATGCTAGGTTCTGATCTAGGGTTCTGATCCAAATTGTCCCCCCCCCCCGCACCGCATCTGAAGTTTTTGGGGAGCCACTGGCTCAACAATATAGTTTTGCAGTTAAGGTCATCTGTGGTCAGGCCCCCTGGCAAAGGTCTTCACTGTTACCTGCTACCTGATCCTACACTGTGAAACACAGCACAGGGGTGAGTAGAGGCCGCTGCCAGAGAATTCTTGGCACCTCAATCAAACTGTACCTCCAATGATATTTTGGGAGGTACCAGGACAGTTAGAGGGGTATAAAGCTGGCATGAGTGCGCAAGGTTCCTGTGTTCACACAAAACCCCAGGTAATCAGCATCACGTGAGGGAAAGAAAAGGGATGGCTCCCACTCACAGGCCTCCACCATCATGTACCCTTTTCTTTGCATTCATGCTTTGCAACCTAAGCACTTGGGAATGTACACACATGGGAACAAGTTCTGATAACTAAATGGAAGGCTGAGAAGGTGTCTCCTTTTCTAGTTCAGACCTATTATCTAAAAACAAGAGCATTCACAAGGGCTGTTAATCAGTTGCGATCTCTTTTTAAATCAAGGGCAGTTCTATGTTGCTGTCCCAGGCAGGATTTAGAAGGTGGATAACTCCTGGTTTCTATTGTTTTCATCAAAAGCAGTAGATTATAGGAAGTACAACAAAGCAACACATCGAAAATGGATTTTTTTGTCTTCCTAAGGTTGCAGGACTATAATGTTTGCTCAACTGGGATTCCTAGGAATTGACTTTCCCATGCCACAAATAGTAAAACACTAAAGCTTGTCCGAAAAGGTTCTTCTACGTTTAGGATCATGAAAGTCTTCCAATAAACCTAGGGTAAACAGAAATGCCACTCTCAGGCTCTATTGCCATCCTGGTGCCATTGTTTAATTTGCATTTTGGTTCCATCCATTAGTAACTGGACAGGTGAGAGTCTCAGGGAGATTTTCTGACAGAGAACCATTTTCCCAGAGGAAATTATTGAATCCATTAAAAAGAAATAGGCAAAAGAACTAGAGGAACTGATAGAACAAGATTGTATCCAGAAGCATAAGCTTGTCTCCCAAGACAGACTCTCCAGGATCTCCTTTGCAATACATTTTAGGGACTCTAAGACTGTTCTCATAAAAGTTTGATATTTCTCTATGGATAAATGGAGTCCTATAATCTGTGCTCGTGTGGCGAAGGCGGGGCTTGCCAAGATGCTCTGCCTGCCCCTTTGATCAGCAGGGATGCCAGTGCAGTCTTCCCTCTCTTCGGTTCTCTGAGCATCCCTGCAATCCGCTCAGAAGCCAAGCGGAAATCAATTTTCCCAGGAACAATTTATTAAGGAGTGAACTACCTAAATTTTGGACACTCATGGGATGTGGCTATGGAGTCTGTCAGGATGAGCACCTGTACTCCAAAATGCACCGCTTCACCCCCTGTGGGAGGGTTGCCCACTGCATTGCTGTGAGTTACTACTCTGGGAGTACTCTCCTTCAGTCAGAAGCAGAACTGGATCAACGATTCATTCACCAGTGTTGTGGGGATCATTTCTCAAGGCAGATCCTCCTCTTACCTGTTCTAAGCATGAACTCATTTGGAGGAAAGGCTTGTCAACTTGGCAGAGCACATGATTCTCATGCAGAAAATCACAGGTCCACCCCCGCCCCCTTCCCAGCCTTCTTATTTGCTTAGCAATTACTGCAAAGAGACATTATGGAGGTTGCATCTACACTGGCCCCAACCATTGTGTTTGCACAAACGATGCAATGGAATTTGAAATGTGTTGCATTGTGATGGCTGCCTACACATACACCGGACTCCGCAGGGCTATTTTTCAAAGCTCTTACATATCCCTGTCCAGGCATGACTTCACCTCCAGCTCCTTTCAAGTAACAAAGCCCACAGGAAGCAGAGTTAATGGATGTTCCCATCTCTCCCAATTAACTCAACAAGGCTACTGCCCACTCCTTAGGAAACACCAAGCCTCAACTATTTGTGGACAATCAATAGAGATATCATTCTGTGCCTCAGACTGGTGTTCCATGGCATCTTGGGGGCCCAGATCTCCAAGCTAAGGAACTGTGAATGACAGACACATGATTGTTGGTTTTCCCCTCCACATAGTCCGATACTGAAGCGAAGTCCTGACATCACCAAGTCACCGCTGACAAAGTCAGAGCAACTCCTGAGAATAGATGACCATGACTTCAGCATGCGACCAGGTTTTGGAGGTATGGCATGTAAAGCCCTGCTGGGATTGGGCTTTTTCTTTCTGCACTTTCTTGAAAGTTCCCATCCACCAAATTTTTACAGAAATTTTTAAAGCCCCGCCTCCACTACACTAGCAAGGGTTATAGGCAAGTAGGTGGAGGTAAATGTTTTTGAAGATTTCTTTCAATGTAAATACATTTACATTTACAAGTAAAAATATTCCATTGCTTAAACACAAGGTGCGATGTAGATTTTCTCTGAAAGCCACTAATTTTGATACATTTTTCTGTCATTATTGTATTTTTTAATGGATCAGGGCAGGCAGAAATATAACAAGTACAGCTATGTCTGTCATGCTGGGAAGAAAAGCATCAGTTCTAAATCTGGGGTGATAAATGGCAAGCAACTTGTGCAACCGATTTTCTAGAGCAAAGCAGCTATTTGGCTTCTCTGCGTTAAGAAAGGGGGGTTGTATGTGGGGGGATTATGAAAGCCTTGATTTCTTTTTAAAAGGGGTGATGTGTGCCTTCCTTAACTGGAATTTGTATAAGCAATCGGCCCCATTTATTAAGGAAAAACACAGGAGGTTTTTTTTTTAAAGCTATTCTCTCATTTGTATGTGTACCCTTAGTATTGAAGAACTTTCGATACTGAACAGACTTGCAAAAACATTGGGTTGGATTCAGACTTAGTCATGTTTAGCAGAGGTCATCCATTGACATTAGTGGGACATATCAGTCTTGACAAACTTCTGTCTGTCCCATTGATTTCAATAGGTTTCTTCCACAAATCATGGCTATGTCTAGATCTAGCCCAAGGTCTTTTAATCTTTTCTAAGGTGTGATGATCAACTGGTGACTTGCAGGTCACAGCTCACCCTTGGAGAAAGATTGGCCTTACCAAACTTTAAACAAGGTGTAGTCAAAAGACAAGATCCACTTGTCAGACGGTGAATCCTTTTCTTCAGTTTGTAAAAAACAAACATCTCCCACAGTGAGTGTTTTAAATTGGAAACTGGAGCACCTATGGATAAAATTGTCTGACTTGCGAAGGGTTCAGCAGGCTGTTCTTTGCTGCACTGCTGTTCTCTGGAGCAGGCTCCAAAGACTAGACTAGCCTCTGAAAATACCATTATTAACCAATCATGCTCCACAGTTCTCCTCATTAAGACAAGGCGGGCAGATATGCATTTTCTTAATAAGGCAGTCAGCTTAACCACTCTCCGGTCAGCTCAGATTTCTCTCTAGATGTCAGGGAAATCCTGAGGTTTAATCTCACAGCAACCATGTCTGCTTGCAGGTTGAGCCTATGTATATAGAATATGTAATGATTAATGCAGTTTGCTGAACTGGCTCTTTCACAACAGCAAGAACATTTAGATTTGCCTGGGTTAATGTTTCACTTTTTGCATGGAGGTTGTGTGCTATAGAAATCCAAGCTTTTAGACATGCTTTCTTATAGACCACCAGATTAAAGAATGTTGTAATTTATCTCCCTTTTCCTGGCTGCCAGATGGTCACGCAAATCCAAACTACTGCTATACCCCCTGATGGGGAGCATTTATTATTACTTAGATTATGCTGAGCATTTAGTATGCTCAATTAGTTGTAAAAGGTTTTAGTTTCAGGATTGTTTGTGGGTGATATTTATGCTTTATTAAATCTCTTGTTCCATGACTGTGGTATTAATTCCTGTAGAGGAATGTGTGCACACATTTGCTTTCCTTACTGAAACCCAAATGTTTGACCAATGTATTAAGCAGGACGTTGCAAAGCAATAAGTGCAAAGTATATGGCTCTGTTCACACATGCATGTCCGCCCTTGGACGCCTGCAGCATAGGCAGGAAGGCTCAAAAATGGTAGACCAGACTATCTGCTCATCTCTGTTTCTAACATTCAAAGCCGGCCCACTTGTTACAATCTGCAGGGGGACCCTTCTGAGAACACCTTCCTCAGATGGGCCCTGCCGCTTGCAGAGGCAACCTTGTTGGGCCTGCATAAAAAGACTTTCTCCTGCATTTCCCCCAAACTGGGAGGCATTGCGTCAAGGTACACAGACTCTCCACACATTAGCATTTGGGAAGGCACCATCTTTTTAATGGTGGGAATGCTGGGGAACCTCTAAACGGGCAGCTTGTTTCTCCCGTTGTCCAAGACTGGGTCTCACACTGCTTCCTCTCCCACCCTGAGAGCCCTTCCACACATTCCAAAGCAGGCCAATTTTCACGCCCTGCCTGAGAAAGGTCACTAGGTAACATTGAAAGGCCAAAGTACTTGCTCCCCACTGCTCCTCCACCTCCTCCTCAGAATCAGACAAATCTATCTAAACTGCCTGTAATGAGCAAGAGATGGGCCCCAACTCTACAAAGCAGCTGTGCATCCACTTTGGTTTGTAAACCTTAATTTGGTCTCCAGACCTGTGGCTGCTTCTTATAATATGATTTTACACAGAGGGATCCATATGCATGTCTCCACAGCTGTTCTGTAATTTGAGAACTGCCATGCAAAAGGTTTCATCCCCCCATTCATACATCTTACTTTCAGTTGAAATACTGGCTTCAATAAATACATTTGCTTCACTATTTTTATATTTATATGCATATGTAACAATTGCAGTCTCCTTTCTTTGTTGAGGAGGAAAGATTATGCACATATAAATATGTATGTACATGAATCCTTGTATCACACATTACATTTTCCCCCTTGTCCTGCTGTACAAAAACTGTAGTAGGGAAATTTCTTGATGAAAAATGATATTTTATGTAAAATATATACAATATAATGTAGAATATACAAAATAATATGGAATGCCCAATTTATAAAATAATATTTTAT